AAAAAAACTTTTTTTTTAACGAAAAGCGTACATGGAATGACCTGAGTTCAAATTTTCATTAACACACTTATGACTGATACAACCTTCCTCAACATCAGCTCCCTCTATAAAACAGGGATACTAACATCCCCCTTGCAGGCTTATTGCAAGACTTAACTGTGTAAAAGCATCTAGTGACTTGTCTCTGTCACTCACTTTTCTGCCACTAGTAACGAGAATAGTGTCTAAAAACTGTCATAGCTTAATAAATACTTGTTGAATTAATTAATTACTTGTAGCTGCTATTATCACACACAAAAAACAAAATACAGTTTTGGAGAAAATATTACAGTAGTTACATAATTTAGAAAATTTTTAACAACACCAGGAAATACAAAGAGCTGCCTTGAGTCACTGTGGAGAAGTGTGAATGTGTGAACACAGGGAAGAGATACTATATATGGCAGGATTCATGATTACTTTTCCCCTGATTATGTTTCCAGATTAGTTATCATCAGCCACCAGGAAATGTAAGCAAACATTCACTGGCAGATTTTTAGCCCTAGGCTACAAATCCATGTTTCTTCAGACAAGTCACCTTCTACACTGATCAACATAACACCTTATCCCACAAAGTCTGGTCTTCCTTTATTAACATTTATGTGTGGTGATGTTTCCTCTATGGGCCTTACTTTTCTGTTTCTTTTTTTTTTTTTTAATTTCTTTGATATATATTTTCTCTAACTTTGTACAATTTGACTTTTGCTTAAAATCTTATTTTATTTTTACAAACTCACCTTTAAGCCTTTACTTCAGGATTTTGTTTTAGTTTTTTTGTTGTTGTTGTTTGGTTTTTGTTTGTTTGTTTGTTTGTTTGTTTTTGAGATGGAGTTTCACTCTGTTATCCAGGCTGGAGTGCGATGGCACAATCTCGGCTCACTGAAACCTCTGCCTCCCAGGTTCAAGAGATTCTCCTGCCTCAGCCTCCTGAGTAGCTGGGATTACAGGGGCACATGACCATGCCCGGCTAATTTTTGTATTTTTAGACCAGCATGTTGGTCATGCTGGTCTCAAACTCCTGACCTGGTGGTCTGCCTACCTTGGCCTCCCAAAGTGCTGGGATTACAGGCATGAGCCACCGTACCTGTAGTTTGTTTGTTTGTTTGTTTGTTTTTACTTAAGATTTTACCTGACCAAATGACTTTAGTACAAATCCCTCAGTGACAGTCAAGGTGTGTGCCTTGGTTTGGAAAGGAGGGAGTTGGAACTGTGGAAGGCATAGGTATCTGAGAGGCAACTGTGAGCTACAAGACTCCCTGCAACTCTCTGGGCTTCAGCGTTCTCACCTTTAAATGAGGATGTGCCAATTAGATTACGTTTATTAACTTAGTAAAAAAAATTACAAGATATAATTTTAGAAAAGGAGAAGTGGAGATGAGACTTTATTTCTCCTAAAAGATTAGAGCCTGCCAAGTGGCCATCCCACAGGCAGGGAAGCATGCCTCTGGCCAAAGCCCAGAGATAGGCACTTTGAAGGAGGAAGAGCTTTATACTGAACAGTTTGGCTCTCTGCAATTCTCTTCCCAGATACTCTCCTGGCTGGCTGAGCTTCTTCAGCTCTCTGCTCACGTGTAATTTCCTCTGAGAAGTCTTCCCTATTGGCCACCTAAAGTAGACCCACCCCTCATTTACTCTCTAATACCTCATCTTGTTTATTTCCTGCATTTATTTTAACACGTACCTCAATCAATTTTGTCATCATCCATTTTCTACTTGTTTACTGCCTATCTCCCCACACAAGAAAGCAAGCTCCTTGCAGAAAAAGACCTTGTCTGTCTCGCTCACCTGTGTATCTCTAGGGCCTAGTACAGTACCTGCCACATATGAATGATTAAATGACTGAAAGTCAGAGAAGGAAAACCTACAGCCAAAATATTTAAAAGGAAAGAAAGCTGACAGTAGTGTATTTCCACCTTAATCTTTTCCTTAAAATCACATAATCTGAGAGCTTGAGTATGTGATTTTAATCTGCAAACCTTTCCACTTCGCAGCTTCAGGCATAACGTCAAAAACACCACCCACTGGTGGTTAATCATACAAGCAAGCTAGGAAGAAAATAGTCATGAAACAAAAAATGTAATGTAGTAAGGTGTTTGCTTAACTTTAAATTTTTATTGGATGTATACTTAATTTATGAGCTTTGAGTAACTAATATTAACTTTAATCTGCATAATACTTTGCAACCTAAAAATGCCACATTTTGACTGAAGCATTCAGCTGGGCTCCTGAGAAAACACAGCAAGCACTTAGACAGGGTCTGGGACACAGCATGTAAAAAGTGTCAATTTTATTATTTTTTCTTATTCTGATTATTAGCAAATCACAATGTGTAAAAGTGTGAATGAACTCAGGTCTCCTTTTTCTACTCAAAAGCATGCTGATTCTTTTCCTTTTCTTGAGTTGTTACTGTACAGATTTTTATACTGGGAAAAAAAAAAAATTAGAGGCAACAGACCAGCAAAAAAAGATAATTGCCAAGGAAAAATCTAGTAGGACTAAGGTAAGGCCAGAGAATTAGGTGAGTCTGCTGCAAAGACACCACCACTCTAGGAAGCACTGCACAACAAGGGCTAGGACTACAGAAGGATTAAGGGGTCCCACCAGCAAGAAAAGCCCATCTCAACCTGGCGAATGTAATGGGGGTGGGGAGTAAGATTCCCCAACCTCAGTCTGGATTAGATTATCTGAATTTGAAATCAACAGATGGTTTGAATTGCAATCACTTTTTAAAACAGTAGTGTTACACAAGCGTATGTGTTATAAAAGTGTGGCAAAATATCTGTAATTTCCAACACATGTATCAAAAGTGGTATCTTCCAAAATTTGTTTAGAATAAAGAGCATGAAATCTTTTAAGTAATGTCTTTAATGTAGCTGCTGATAAATCTCTTTTCTCAGATGCCTTGATTTATGGCCAGAGTTAGGCCTAGTACAAGGTAACTTAGAAAATACCAAAGAATTGACGGACTGTTTGCCTTCCACAAACAGGTAAGGGATGCACTGATATTCAGCTGAAGCCTCACAATTCAGCTAAAGTCTGCTATTTGGCTTTACCTTTGTCTTTGTCCTCAGATTTTGGAAGAAAAAGGAACTGAAGCTTGCTTTAAGGTTATTTCTGACATCAACAAACCTGTCCACGACCTTGTGACAGAATTATCTTGGGATCATAACTAAATGTCAATAATAGTTTGGATTTATTGCAAACATCTGCATATTCACTTTGAAAGAGAGGCAAGCATTCTAAATGTGATCTAGATGAACATCTCTATGTGTTTTATATATTAAACTGGCCAGGAAAAGGTAAGTATCTATTTATCACTGCAATAGTAAAGTGATACAATAACATGATTTTGGAAGCTGTTCATCGCATGCCCCAAAATAAAATACTTGCAAATAATCAAATACATGAAAAAATAAGATGAAATTAATGAAAATCTTAAAAGAAAGTAGGTTGGCCAGCTGTTTCTAAAAACCTATATGGTAATATGAGGCAAACAACAAGGATTATATAATAATTCTAATCTTTGTAGAGTTGTTTTGGTATAGTACTATTCATAACATTAAATAAATGATTTTTAACTGTGTTTAATTTTTTAAGTAATTATATTTAAGTCAGAAACCTTTAAGGAAGGTCTGTTTGAGAATTTTTCACATTTTAAAAGAAGAATTTTAACTCTATACAGAAGTCATTTGGTGATAGTTTTCTTTGACTTTCAAAGAATGTTGATTTAACATTTGGCCCTCTGGCGACTATTCAATATCCCTCTAATTCAGATAAAGTATTTATTACTGTTTTTAATATTTGAACATTCTTCCCAGCTTCCACTGGAAAAAATAAATAAGTGGTTGATTTTTTTCCAATTTTGCCCTGAAGGATGACTGGAGATCATGTTGTCAAGCCCCTCCTGCAGATTAGTAGCACTTTCTACTACTCTTCACCAGCTCTTTAGGTCGGAGGCTAAGGGGAGGTGATTATAGGCAGATGAAAGGCACCCTAGTGTCTCTGAGTGCATCCTCTGAACCTCTTGTTAACATACCTGAACAAGCCTGTTCTTGCCCAAACCTCCATCTTATAAAGCATCCACTAAGAAAGGGGGACGAGGGAGTCTAGGACGACTCTAACAAGTTATCTTATAAAACCAAATCCAAAGAGCTGGACTGTTCCTGTGGCCTCTCTTCCTAGGCCTTTGCTTTCAACATCCAACACTTCCAGGCCCTTCCTGTATGAACTGAGCAATGTGCTCCCTCTCAACACATGCAACTTTCTGGATGGAGAGATCGAACCGATGTTGGAGACAAATCCAAAAAAAAAAAAAAAAAGGCAGAGAAAAAAGCTACAGAGATTCAAAGATCATCTGGTTGACACCTCCCTGAAGGCACATATAACACATTTCAAAAGGAGGGAAGGAAGTCCTGGGTGTATGAATGAGATTTTTATGGCCTGTATGGAGCGGCGCTCTGGGCTGCTCCTCCCATCCCCGCATGGAAAGTTAGGAGTTTCTAGCCACATTAATTCACCCTAAAGGAAAAGAGGCGGCGGCGGCCGCGCTGCGTGCGCGCGGGGGAAGACACCCGCCCACGCATGCCCTCGCCAACGCAAAGACGCAGCTCACAGCCTTAACCGAGGAAGAGGGAGGCTCCCGCCACGCTCACTTCCTGCTGGTGAGAGGAAAGACATCTTGCAGCAAGGAGGTCGGTAGCAGTTCCGCCCCTGGACCGGCCGGCAGCGCAGCGCGCACTGTGGCCACCTACGTGGCGCTGCCTGCTCGGGTGGCGCGGCGAGCAAAGGCCGCCCATGCCGCGCCCCGCGGTCCCCGGCCTTCCCGCGGAAGCCTGGTTCGGCCCCGGCGAGGGTCCACTGGGGTGAGGCCCGCCGCACCCCGGGCCCTGCGGCGGGGCGACTGCAGAAGGCGCAGGGCGCGCGAGGTGCTGGGACGCGCAGGCCGCCGCGGGGTCACCCACCTTTCTCACTCTGCGGGCGGTGTAGAGCCCCATCCCGTCCTGAACCCGGGAGGACTTCAGGGAGAACCTGTCCGGCACGTACATGCCCAGCATTTTCCCAGCCGTGGCGGCCGCCGCCTGGCTCAACACCGGCGCTGTGCGCCCGGCAGGCGACACATCGAAATTTGGGGTGCCAGGGTAGCGGGGAGAAGCCGGCAGGGAAGGAGGAAATGGAGTTTTCCTCCCAGAATCCCCACCTCCCTGCCGATTCCAGGATCCCCCGCGGCTCAGCCCCTCCTAGTCCCGGGTCGGGCTCGGCCCGGATCCGTAGCTATCATTTCTGTCGCGGGGGCGCTGGGGGCGCGGGCCTGGGCGCCGCGGGCGCCGGGACGCCGCTCGCTGATTGGCCCGAAGTTGGCGGCTCGGACCCGCGCCCGGGCGCGAAGCCCGGAGCAGGGCTGACCCCTGAGCCGCAAACCCGGAGGCTCGCGAGCTGCGCGGGCGGTCAGCAGCCCTGGGCCCGGCACAGCGGCGTGCGTTCCCGCCTTGGTCCAGCTTTGGGTTTTCGAACCTTGCCCCACTTAACCATTACCATAGGGGAGTCTCGCTTACTTGTCTTCAGCTGCAAGACGAAATGGACCTTCTCACAGCCGGGGCATCCTGCAAAACAACTTTATCAAGTTTCTGACTCTGAAAGCCAGCTTTTTGCCGACTATTAAGAACTAGCCCTGCGGTCTAGGAAATTTCCGTGCTTCTCACATTCGAGTTAGGCGTGTTTGCTTTTTTTCATGTTTGTTGCAGAGGTTTGAATTAATAAGGGATCTTAAAGTATGTTGATTAACTTATGGAGAAATACGTTGCAAACAATTTAATGTTTAAATCACTAGAAACTTGATGTTTTCTGGTAACATAACCTCGGGAAGTTCTTACATTTCTCGAGGTATAGTATTCCTGAGACCCCCCTTGCTTGATAATCGGACCTATTACGGATATTCAGACATACGGAAGTGGATTTGTGGGAGACAGGAGGGGCACCCAAACAATAGAATCTGGTGTCACAACAATGAAATAAAGTTACAAATTTTGTTTTAGTGTTTTTAGTTAGGCTGTGCAGTGTGCGCAGGACCTTTAAAAGCCTGCTTCACCCTTCAAGATGAGCCAGGAGCCATCTGTACTCATTTCTCTTGATATTCATGGTGATTTTCTACTCTAAGGTCTTGGAAACCATTTGATGTTCTTAGTTGATGTTCTCATAAACCATTAAAAGCACACACAAAAGTTCGACAAAATTGCAGACTACACACACACACCATGGAAACGATTCCTGTTTCTGCAGGAAACCCTTGGAACATAGACAGTTACTAAGTTTTTTTTTTTTTTTCTTAGACAGGGTCTAGCTATGTCTCCCAGGCCAGTCTTGAACTCCTGGGCTCAAGGGATGCTTCCACGTCGGCCTCCTGAAATGCTGGGATTACAGGCTTGAGGTACTACACCTGGCCCCTATGTAGATATTGATTCAAGTTTGGAAAAAGGTTTAAAAAGCAAAAACAAAAGTCATTATGGAAAAAGAAAATCATCTAATGGCAGTATTTGGAGACTTTAAGGAACACAGTAAATGATTACATAATCCTGTCTCTAAGAAATATAAGTTTAGCTTTCACAGCAGGAGAGGAACAATTAGCCCCTCTGTGAGTTTTGATACCTTTGACTTACCATAGATCTCTAAATTCTCTAAGGGAAAATATATCAACAAAAACAAAAACTCTTTTGGGGGAATTTGCAGTTCCATTGCCTTGAAACACATAGTATGTAAATATGTCTTGAATGAAAGTCACTTCTGAATCTGATCTGAGATGTTCAAACTAGATTATGGTGAGCCTACAATTTACTTGGCTCTTTGTTGTGCCTCACAAAAAGCTGGACTAAGTAGGTTTTCCACGGGTCATTTGAACCGGGCTGAGACCAAGCCAGACCAGATACATTGGGCCCAGCTGGAACCAGACCACTGTCCAGAAGGTGGGGCCCTAGCATTTTCCTGGAGCATTCAGCTCCTTGTCAAACACAGGCTGGAGCCACCTTCAAGCCATACCGGACTCTCAGTGAAATGCTCTGCCATGTTTCTTTGGGCGCAAAAATTTCCACAGCTTTTGATCACTAGTGAGGAAAACATGTTTTTTGGTTTTAGTCTGAAACAATCCTTATTTAGGGATGACCTTTGCTTTGGCATCTCTCTTAAATATTTGGTTGCATGCTGTCTTTCTGGGGAGCGAGGCTGCAGCCTTGAGAATCCACCTCTCTGAATGTAGGCATCTTTACTAAATAGAAAATGGTGAAAGTATACACACACACACACATATATGTGTGTGTGTGTGTGTGTGTGTGTGTGTGTGTGTGTGTGTATATATATATATATATATGTATATATATATATATTTTTTTTTTAGACAGTCTCGCTCTGTAGCCCAGGCTGGAATGCAGTGGCACAATCTCAGCGCACTGCAACCTCCGCCTCCCAGGTCCTGGTTCAACCAATTCTCCTGCGTAGCTGGGATGACAGGCATGTGCCACCATGATCAGCTAATTTTTTTGTATTTTTAGTAGAGACGGGGTTTCACCATGTTGGCCAGGCTGGTCTTGAACTCCTGACCTCTTGATCTGGCTGCCTCAGCCTCCCAAAGTGCTGGGATTACAGGCATGAGCCACTGTCCCCAGCCTAACATTTTAAAGATAAAAGTGAAATCAATATAAGAAACTTTCCAGATATTTTATGAATCTTGGCCAGATATTTTTGTTACAATTGATGCACTCAGTATATTTCATTAAAGCATGCAATGTTCTTTTTATCTATTTAATGGAGTGTTCTGAAGATCTACTAACTAAGACATGGGAACTAGCAATAAAAAGTTCTTAATAACAAGTTCCATTACAACACATAAAAAGGATACATGTTTGCCAAATCAAAATGCACAATATTGACCGGAAATTTGATTTTGAAGCCTATAAGACAGTGGTAATACGATGAGTCATTTCTTAAAACTTTAAAAGCTAGAAAGTGACCTTTCGGTATTATCTTTGAAAAACGGGAAATTAAAAGTCTGCTTTATATCAAGAGTTTAAATCCAGTCTTTAAAAAATAAACAAGAAAATCAAAAAATTGATATTAAAGTACTACCAAGCACCTGATTTACTTATTTTAGAAAATATTGCACTGTCTTGACACACAAGAAATTATTCAAAATACATTGCTCCTTTCAAATTTGCTTTTGGAGGAATTTTTTCATTGATATGTCTAAAGCAAGCTCTAGTTATTGCATTTAAACTTATGTACTTGAGTGGGCCTTGTTTTCTCATTTTAGGGAAGACTTGAATTATGACTGTATATTAATTAATTATTTTACCATACCATCAGTATTTACACACTCAAGCTTTTTAAATTGTGTCTTGGTTATTAATGACTGATTCCAAGCACCATGGTAGACTAAAAGCCTGAATGATAGAAAAAGAAAATAATAATAAGCTGAACCTTATTTGTCTTCAGTTACCAGAGAACCAGAGGGATTTTGTAATAATTGAATACAAAACCAAATTTCCAGAGCAGAAAAGAATAAAGATTTATTTGATGTGATTTTTTAAAAAGTTTACTAAAATAAAATGCAGAGTAAGGGTGTCAAACTCTTGCTTTTAAAAGCAAGAGATTAAAAAAGATTAAAAAATCTATCCTCAGCATTGATTCTATAATAGCAGCACCATGAAAAGATTTCCCTTGAAACCTGAAAAAGTCTGAACATTAAATTTTTCTTAATGTCTTGATTTTAAGAAAGGTAACATACACTTGTATATAGCACCAAAAAAGAATCATAAAATTTTTTAACTAGAGGAAAACCGCAGATTGTTGTGACTAAATTGAGTAAATTATGCTACAGATTGGATATGTCCCTTAAAAGTGTATGTGTAGGAAACTTAATTCCCAAAGCAACAGTGTTGGGAAGCAAAGGCTGGTAAGAGGTAATTGGGCATGAAGGCAGAGCCCTCGTGAATGGTCTGGTGTCAATATCAGAGGAGAGGTTAGCTATCTAGAAAGTTGGTTGTTATAAAAGCAAGCCCAACCCCATAGCCTCTCTGCATCTCTCGAGCTTTCTTCTGCCTTCTTTCCTTCTGCCATGAAATAAACCTTGCCACATGCCAGTGGCAGGCTCTTGAACTTCCCAGACACTGGAACCATGAGCCAAATAATTTTTTCCTTTCAAGACTAGAGACTAGATCTTGCTCTGTCTCAAGGCTGGAAGGCAGTGGTATGATCATAGTGCTCTGTAGCCTCCAGCTCCTGGCTTCAAGCAATCCTCAGCCTCAGTCTCCCAAGTGGCTGGGACTATAGGTACATATAACTGTGCTCAGATAATTGAGCACAGTTTTATTTTATTTTATTTTATTGGCATAGATGAAGTCTCATTTTGTTTCCCAGGCTGGTCTCAAACTCTTGGCTTCAAGTGATCCTCCAGTCTCAGCCTTCCAAAGCCCTGGGATTATAAGCCTGAGTCACCATGTTTGGCCCCAAATTTATTTCCTTTATAATTTCTGTGGTATTCTGTTATAGAAGAGAACAGATTGAGACAGACAACTGGTAACAAGAAGTAGAGTTATTACTGTTACAAATACTTGAAAATGTGCAAGCAGCTTTGGAATTGGGTAATGAGTAGAGGCAGCAAGAATTTGGAGAAGCAGACAAGAAAAGGTACATACTGCCATGAACAGACCATTAAGGACAATTCTGATGAAGGCTTAGAAAAAGACCTCAGAATTAGGGAAAGCCTAAATCTTCCTAAAAATTACTTAGAGATTATCACCAGAATGTTGATAAAAATATGGTCGGTGGTAACAGCCATTCTGGTAAGTTCCAGACAAAAATTGGGAGCAAGGTATTGGAAACTAGAGTAAAGACCATTCTTGTTATAAGGTAGCAAAGACCTTGGCTGAATTATGCCCATATCCTAAGACTTTATGGAATGCAGAACTTAAGAGTGATGAACTAGGGTATATGGTGGGAGAAATATTAAGCAGTGAGCCATTTAGACTTCTGTGTGGCTACTTTTGACTATATACAGTAAGATATGAGAGCAAAGGTATTAACTAATTAAAACGGAAGAAAAGTGAAAAGACTTGGAAAATTTGCATCTTGGCCAGATAAAGATTGGAAAATCTGTTCAGGAGAGAATACTAAGGGTGTGGCCAGTGACCATTTGTTGAAGGGATTAATATGAATAAAGAGAGCCAAGTGCTTCTCATCAAGGCAATGGGAAAAGACAGTGAAAGCATTTGACAGATCTTCCAGGCTAACCCTCCCAACACAGATCCAATGCTGTAGGGGGTCAGAATGGA